AGGAGGTTCATCTCCTTCCGCACAATTGAACACCAGTTCTTGTCTTAGGAAATAAAGACCATTTTTTCAGGAGTGAGAACTAAAAGGCTAGAATTGAGATGGGTCTCTGTTTCTATTTAGAAATCACGGCAATAAGTGAAACATGTTTTGTCCAGATCTGGAGGGAGTAGCCTTGGGAGGAAAGGGAGGAAATACCTCACGCTGTGGGAGGTGCCTGGTGAGGTGACAGATGAGTATCTCAGTCTGCATATGAAATTGGGGATTGTCAGCAACTACAGCCCCTACATCAGGGCTTGCTGAAATGTCAGGTAAAACCCCAAGGTCCTGCACATTATCCTATACTTCACCCAAGTTCAGCTGAGCCTCCCTTACATTTTAAATGCTTGGACATATAAATTCCTTGGGGGACAGGGACTCTACCATATTCAAGTTAGATTCTCTAGTATCTAGCAATGTGTCTGGCACACAGTCAGCCCTTTATCCGTGTTGAAATAAACTTAAACTTTTAGGTAGGATGTTCTGATCACAATCCATTTGTGATCTTTACATGTTGACCGGTCAACAAGAACTTGATCACACCTGACAAGCTCAGCACTCTGCTGGATCTACAGGGGAGAAAGGAGGAACATAAAGTGACAGCTCGCAGGCCAGGTGGGGAGACATATGCATGTCAGTATTGACCAACATACCATATAATGGTTTAGAAACAGACGTTAAGGAATGTGGACCGGACCAAAACATGGCTAAGCCCACAAGAGACTTCTTGGAGGAAAAGGCACAGCCACTGGTCAGGCATAATTTCGTCTATACTACAAGTTCTTAGGTCAAGACACAATCATGTCCATCTCTTTGTACACTGACAGCAAGGGCCTTTTAATATCAAACAGAAATGACTGACAATAATCGTGACCAAATTTCCCAAACCCACAACCTAACAGGTTCCTGCAGTGCCTCTACGTTTGAGAAGCTCTGTCTGTAAGACACAGTTTGGATAGGATGGTTCCATGCTGTGTGGGAATAACAGGACACATGGAATATTTTAAATTAGAAGATCGTGCCATATCCAGAATTAGTCTAATGCACTATTAATCCTTTGAATCATTAAAAGACTATGCTTTTATGCTAATGCAGATGGAATGGGGGACTGGAGATGAAGCAGATTTAAGAAATCTCAGATTTAAAACCAGACTGGCCTTTTGACCAATAGGCTCAGTTAAGTGCTAACTGCAAAGCTGGACAGGATTCAGCTCAACAGTCCTAAAAAACAAATGGAGCCATTTGGAGTTGGAAAGTGGTATTATAAAGCCTCTGACTGTGGTGTTATAGAGCCATCCACCAGGAAAATATGACAGTTTACATGTTTAAGTAGCCTAACGTACAGTGGGAATATAAACGTCTTGTTCAGGCCCCAATTGCTTCCTAGAATGGGATGCTTTCCATAACAAGGAGCAGAGGAGAAGCCAAACCTTATATTCTGGCAGTCAAGTTTAAGCACATAGAATTCTCAGTCGGTCGGGGCAATGACAGGTGATTCAGGGGAGAAGGCACACCGCACGTTTCCTTGGTCAGGCCAAAGGTCTTCCCCACTTTTCCTCAGAGGCTCTGCCCCTGTGAGTGTCCCACGCTTGGCCAGCTGGGTTTACCCACCTTTCCTTGGGCCACCAGCTCCCTCTGGGCTGCTGAAGCCGATTTGACCAGGGCACTTGTGGCAGCAGCAATGGACTTAGCAGCTTCCAAGATCTGTTCTTCAAAATCCAGGGTCTCATCTGCTTGCTATAATCAAAAGAAAACAGCATCACGTGCAATTCACATCCATGCAGGGCTCTTTCCGCCAAACTACTTACTGCTTGGTCACCTGGCTCTTCATCTGCCTATTGCTTTTTGATGACAAACCACACCCAGGGCAGAAAGGCCTAAGCTGTCAGGACGCCTCTCCATCTGGTGCCCCCCTCCCCCCCTCTAAAAGGTAAAAGCTGTTAGCATTGACATTCCACACAAATGTTAAATCAGGACATTCTAAGACTATTTTTCCAGACCAGAATGTTTAATAGGACATGAATTCACTGTGAATAAAATACACTCCAATGGTTCTAGCAGCATCAATAACCAAAATCAAAATAATCAATAATCAGAGTCAAAACAGTGGGCTGTGGCACACTCTTCCAGAGCTTAAGGCTCACAAATGTGTTGAAAAAAGGAAAGATAGCTCCTAGTTCGGAAAAGTCTTATTTTTCTTGAGTGAAAACAAAAGCAAAATAGCATTTCCATTCTGTGGCTGAGCACAGAAAGTTATACACCAACCACAGATTGCCCAGTGGTGGAAAAGAAACCGAGGGGGAACTTGTTCAGTCACTGGACACCCGAGGCATGGCTCCACCTCGGGAAGAATGACGGACACCACTGTGTAGATGATGGCAGGCCGTTAGGGCTCTGGTCTAAATTTACCAGCACCATGTCCTCTGCTGCCAAAACAGCTTAGGAAGCTAAAGAGAAGCTTTGGGGACATGGGGTAAGTGTAAAGACCATTGTCCCAGGTTGGTTGGAATACAGTATCACAGTCTGGGGTGGTCAGACTAGATGACCTGCAAGCTCCCCTGCATTAACATTCTGACTCCAGGTCAACCTGCTTAAGCTGTCCTTAGGTCACAGAATGCTGAAGATGTGGCTGGTACATTTCAGGCATTAAGAGATGATCATCAGGCATAGGAATACCTTTTTTGTATGTGTGGTAAAATATATGTAACATTAAATTTTCCCTTTTAACCAATTTTAAATGTACAATTCAGTGGCATTAAACATATTCGTAATGTTGTTTAACAGCAATACATTTTTTAAAGTGCCTTCAGCCTTAGGGAGGTGAAGTACTGGGCCCAAGGTCATGTGGCAGTGTGAAGAATCAAACCTAAACCTCTCTGACTCCAAATGATGGCTTTTATGAGCCTAGGCCACCCCTTAGGGCATTAGTGAGGAATGACTTCATTCCAGAGGTTCAAAGTCAGCCTGCTAATAGTCTCACATAAAACATCAGATAGGACGGACACAGTTCTTTTCCAGATCCCTATTCTTAATGTCACATCTTGAACCATGGGAGATGCCAATCTTTTTTTTTTTTTTACAACCCATATTACCAAAATAAAATTTCAATGCACATCTAGTGGATCTGAAGAACAATGGCAGCATTTTAGAAGTTCTAAGACAGAACTTGTATGTTCTTTCTTATTTCTGACAAAGTCCTGCTCTAAGAGTATTCAGGACAGAAACGGCTTCAGTTCCATTGGATTCACTTTGGATTGGTGGAGTATAGAATTTGTTTACTGAAATACAAAAACGACTCATCACAAGAAACTCTGGCATAAAAGGTACTATTATACATAGGTCCAGAATAAATTACATTAGGCTCTGGTATGTACGTACGTGTGTGTGTGTGTGTGTGTGTGTGTGTGTGTGCGTGTGTGTGTATTTAATGACCCTGAGATTAAGAGCTTTTCTGGAAATTCATTCTGCAAAAGAAAGTCAAGCATATAACACATTAAGGTGCTAAAGAAATCACAGAATTTCTGAGTCCAAAGGGAGCCCCTCCTCATTTTTCTCTCCCTCCCAGATGAGAAAATGGCAGCCCCAGTGGCTCCTTGAGTCTCCCAGGCTCTTGTCTCCATGGTGGGTTCCAAGCCCGTTCCCACTTTACAGTGTGGAGGAACCTGTCAGCAGAGTTCTGAAATTTTAAGATTTGCAAAAAATGAAATTTCTTTAAAATTAAGTGCCAAATCTTAGCATGGATAGGTCTGATAAAATCGTCTCATCACAACTGATCTGAAGGGTGTCTCCCACATCTTCTGTGGCTCGGATTTTATTTATTTATTTATTTTTTGTAAAATATGCTTAAAATAGATATTCAATTTGGAAATATTTTTGACACCCACAGATTTTTCTGGCAATGGCAACTATTATAATACTCTCTGATGAATTTTAACTTTTCTTTCCATAACATCTCTATGCTTTAAAACAGACACAGCAGAAAGCCTTATCTTTGGGAGATATTTGCTCCAATTAGATAGTACTAGAGAGTTTCCCAAGAGAGGCTTAATAAAGCAGACTGAGATGGCTACAGGCACGGAGGGTGAACGTTTTAGATGCTGCAGTTTGGGCAGAGCACGACAGACCTGCCTTCTGTCTGCTGGACCCTATCTTTCTGTACTCCACACTTATCATTAAGAAGAAACGCCCACCCCATCTCTCCTGCTGGGAACAGACACCAACACTTAATATTTCTTCATACCACACAACTTCTAGTCTAAGAGAAAACGCATCTCCCTGAGTCAAGGAGACTTGATGAAAACCCTAAGCACCTGGCCGGGGTTCCCTGTTAGCTCCAGCTCCCACCAAAACCAGAATGGAATCTGGGAGAAGGGAAGGAGGACACACGTTTAACCACACTGCAAAAAGAAGAGACATAGAATTGATTTAGTCTTCAAAGGATTTTCCTAAATAAAAGGATCACAATTAAAATGCAGGACTTATTAACAGAACGATCCTCACCGCAGCTGGGAGTCTGGAGGAGGAACCCTGGTGGAGAATGTGGAGCCACTGAGGTCAGGCTCTGCCACGGGGGGGTCACCCTCATCTCCTCATCAGAGAGGTGGGGGTGGGTGGTCTCTTAAAATCCTCTTTAGCTGAGACATTTCACTGACCTGCCCCAGGTCAGTCTGATCTGTCCCTCTGGCTCATGGAAGACTCACTCCTGACCCCAAACAAGTGGATCGTGTAAAGATCCACTAAGATTGACAAAATAATCTTTTAAAGATTATGACTAATCCTATGCATGTGGCTATTTATATTCCTTTATAACTACTGGCCTCAAGCAAAGGCAATGAACTTAAGAAAACACCTTCATTAAACAAGCTGAACAGACAGCCCTGGCTGCAGAATCACCTGTGGATCTGGTTAAAGGCACAGATGCTGATTCACAGTAGGCCTGGGGTGGGGCCCGGGAATCTGTTTCCAAAGGAGGTGGTTTATGGGACTACTCTGTGGGAAATGCTGGCCTAGGCTAAGGATAACAAACAACAGTTAACCGAATCCTACTGGCCTGGGATCTCCTCTGGGGCATGAATTATGTTTTAATCAATTTATGTTTCTCTAGCACAGAATCAGGCAGAAAAGCCCTTGTGATAAATGTTTGCTGAATGAATGTATCCATTCAACGTGAGTCCCAAGTTCCAGAGTTCAGCCAGAGGACAGTGTACATGGTACGAGAAGGAGGAATCCACGGAGTAAGCATCCGTAACATTAACCGTCCACCCTGAGCCACGGGGGATGGTTACACGTCTACAGTGCTGGCTCCCGCCCTACTTAAGGCCATGGGTTTTTAAGTGTACATGCTGCCTGTATCTCTCAAATGGCATCCACAGTTTGTGACATTTAATCATGCACATACAGATGTCAACGCAGCGGGATTTACCCAGAAGTGCTCTTACTTAACAGAGTAGTGCTGGGAAAAGAGCTAACAGATGCACAAAGTAAGAATCTGCTCTGCCTAATGACGGTGTGAGCTGCCACCTCTGAGTGCTGAAGCTGTCTTCGCATCCTTTGCTCAAGTGTTCCTTTCCCCAGTCCCCTCCACCCAGAAAGGCTACTGGCCAGGTCACTGCTCGCTCCTGGCAACTCTGCCTTTCCTGAACTGTCTAGCAGACTCCAGCTGAGGATGGATTTATCCTCACCTGGGCTTTTTCATAGCCTTGAGAAAGGTCAAAGCACCCTTTTGGGGGCCGGCCCGGTGGCGCACTGGATAGTGCGCCGCTTGGGAAGCGCGGCGGTGCTCTCGCCGAGGGTTCGGATCCCACATGCAGACCGGTTCCCGCTCACTGGCTGAGCGAGGCGCGGGAGCAACACCGAGGGTTGTGATCCCGTTGCCGGTCCCTGGTCCGGTACGGGGGCAACACTGAGGGTTCCGATCCGTTGCCAGACACGGAAAAAGACAAAAAAAAAAAAAAAAAGCACCCTTTTGTTGGTACTTTTCCTGCTTGCTGATCTTCTCCCCTTTTAGAAGGTTAGAGGCCTGGTGAGATCCTTCCTGGGAGAGGCTACACTTTGGGCTGGCTCCCTTCCTGCCTGCTTCCCACACTCGGGTGAGACCCCCTATTTTTACTCTGATAGGTCTAAACTTTCGGGAGCTAGAGGTCCCACTGGAATAGGAAAGGTGAGAGGAAAAACGGAAGGCCTTTCCTCATTTTTATTTTGGTTTTTGGCCTTTTAGGGACTCTGAGAACACAATCTTCGCAGCCATCCATTCATCTTCTAAACCTACTTTCCCTCCTACCTATCTTATGGGGTCGTGACAGTAAACAGTTATGTAAAGCACGACTGACTCACGGTAGATGCTCAGGAACTACTGGCAACTAGTTTCATTATTATTCCTACTACTACATATTTTTTTGTGTGGTTTTAAAAATTGTTTTTCAGGCTTTGAGCTAAACTAGTCTGTTTCTCTCTAAACCTGTTTCACACTCATAATTACAATAAAGATTCTACATAACATTTTGGGTTACAACCTAAAATAATAATAAATAAACCACCCAAATCAAAGATAAACGAAGTAATGCATGGTATGGATGGGCACTGCTTCCAGATTCTTCCTCAGCACCCGGGCAGGAACTGGACAATCTGGGATTCAGTCATTTGCTGTCTTTCGACCATGTGACTTCAGTGTCTTTGCCGCCCTTCTCCAGCAATTGGTGTATCAGTTTTCTGTTTATAATGTGAGGAGCAACTAAACC